TCAGTAAATGAAATACAATATTGTATGGAACATTATGATACAATAAAATATGATACAATAAGGAGCTTAAATCTAAAGTTACTGCTATGAGAGGTTAAAGATTTCCTGTATTTTTCCATCTTTCTGGCAGTGGCACTCAACTGTGTTCAAGTGCTCAGCTACATGAGCATGCATCAGAGTAGGTAAAGGATTTAGATGAATTTTCAATTCAATTCAATTCAATTCAATTTTATTTTATTTATATAGCGCCAAATCACAACAAAAGTTGCCTCAAGGCGCTTTATATTGTACAGTAGATACAGAGAAAAACCCAACAATCATATGACCCCCTATGAGCAAGCACTTTGGCGACAGTGGGAAGGAAAAACTCCCTTTTAACAGGAAGAAACCTCCGACAGAACCAGGCTCAGGGAGGGGCGTCCAGTGATTAATAACAGATATGATTCAATGCAGAGAGGTATTTTAACACATAGTGAGTGAGAAAGGTGACTGGAAAGGAAAATTTAAAAAAAAAAACATCTATTTAAAACAATCTATTTAAAATGAGAGCAAGCCTTTCACTATAGATATCTAAATAATATCCTGCGTGAACTCTACCTAGATTTCATATAATAACTTCTATAAGTTCTAGAAAAAGGTACGTCTTTACCAGTTAGTTGCAATCTGCAGTGGACTGTTTTAGTCAGTAAACTCTCGATGGATAATAACTGACACCTATTCATACTTACAGCATGAAGGTGGAAACATCTTCCATCTTTTGCTTTCTTGAAAGCATGTCATATAAACTCCAAATGGGATTATGTGCATGCTCATATGACTGACTGATGTGAGTATTTACTACATATGTGAGATATTTTTTTCATCACTGATTCATTAGTTTGGGAAAACAAAGCAGGTCCATGAAACTAATCATTGACTTTAATGCTGGGTGAGGGAATGAGGTTTGATGCTAAAACTTAAGAAAGTCATGAACTGATTAAAGCAGAACTACAGCTTTATTAAGGCTAGAGATTGCATTGGCCACTGCACACTGTTCTGTATTCAGTGTTATGCAACAATGATGCATTGTGGGTAATGTGACAAAACCAGTTGTGCCATGCAGAAAAGTGAGACGGCTGCAAGGAGTTTTTGTAATACTGCCTACTGGAGCAGTGTTATACTCTAGCTACAGTCATATGAATAAATTGAATGGATATCATTGACTTTCCCAACATACCTGTACAAGTAAAAGCTTGTTTTTCTTTGAAATACTTACAGTAGGAGTTCTTGGTCTACTTTATGACTGTACAGGTCCTGTGACTACAAAACAGACATTCCACCACCATGTTTTACAGACAGTATGGGATGTTTGTTTTTCTCCAAACATCTCAGCTATCCAGACAAAATTTTTACAGAGGTCTTGTGGTTTATCAACTTTAGAAACTTAAATCCTCCTTTCTCCTGGCGAGCCTTCCGATACTTGCTCAGGCTTTTTTCTGATTGTACTGTCATGAACTCAAACATTTATCATGCTAACTGAGGAAAGTACAGTCTTGAACTTACGTATTATCTGCACTCTGCATGGTCTGACCTTGGGAAGAATTTGCTGAGATAAAAACTTCTAGGAGGATTGAATGTTCTTGAATGTTTTTTGGTTGCGCTGTACTTTCTTTTTAACATGACAGCAACGACAGAAAAAAAAATCACTCATTTTACTTTAGAATTTACTTTTTTAGAAAATACCAGAGGAATGTAGATATTCTTACAGCAACATTGCTATTTAGACAAAGGCACTATATTTCACACTTGGTGTCAGAAAATAAGACTTATATAAATCAGTAAGAAAGATGTATCACGGAGGTTTCCTACTGCACATTTGACCTGTTTGTAGTTATAATTTCGCAGAATAATTCCACCAGTGTTTAAGTGTTTATTTTTAGACCAGTGTTTTAGTTCCCACACACACCCAGCACATTTTTTTACTCTGATTGTTTAATGAAGTCAGCGAATGAAGTTGAATGAAGTTGTGTTGTTTCTTTACTTACTGATGTTAGGAATTCTAAATTGAAACCCTGCCTTGATGGGGCTGAACAAGATGACTCATATAGCAGCCTCAGGAAAGTTTTAAATACCTACATTAGGAGTACACCAGAACTTATAACACAAACAAAAATGGTCACATAAGACAGGAGGAGTCCACAAAAGTTCGCCACCTCTTTAGAAATGATAAGGATTGTTTCACAAGGTCTCTCATTTTTTATTGCATATTCCCCAAAAGAGTAATCTCTGAAACTCTGCTGTCTAACACAATCAATAGATTTGATTGGTGGTCTTGAAGTATTTCTCTGGCATCTGTCTATACTATGTGTCTGCAGCCATGAAAGTCAGAAAGCAGAGCAGTAGGCAAAAGTGTCCAAAATACCTTATCTGAGAGAAGGGATTTTGCCTGATGAACTGTTGTGAAAAAGTCTATCAGTGTTACCACTAGTAATGTCAAAGTATTAATATCTATATCCTTTATTTATTCAGGTAGGTCTCACTGAGATTAATAATTTGTGAAGACAGTTATGGCCTAGTGGGCTTTGAGATCTACAACTTAATATACTAAAAAGCTTTGTGTAAAGCTTTTCAAAATATAGTTACAAAGTTGCTTACAGAATAATAAAATAGAGCTCCAAGAAGGATACAATGGTTATAACAGCAACAAATATTGAAATAATATAACTGTTCACTGACCATGAGATCCCTCAGATATCAGGTGTGAGGTGTAGACGAAGCTAAGAATATTTCATAGAGGCTGCAAGGTAACTGAATATAGACAGCTCCTGTATTGTTATCAGTAAGACTTGCCTGTAACTTCATTACCTGAAAAGGGCAAATTATGTGCCAATTATTTTATTCCCACTTTCGTGACCACTTATTCTTGAAGTTGTGGGAGAGTCTGAAAGGTATCACATGTAACGCAATGTGATAGGTGGAGTACACACTGGGCAGGTTGCCAGTTAGTCACAAGGCCATAATAGAGAGACAGAGATGCACACTCGAATCTGCACATATGGGCAATTTAGAAAGGGCAGTTAGCCTAACGTCTTGATGCAAGCTCATTGTGTTATCAGGACATTGCCACACAGAACTAACACCATCCCAACAGACACAGCAGCCATGGAAGAGAAAATGCAGTGTTGGTGTTAAGTGCCAAGAAAATCGCTGTGAATTATACATTGTTGAAACTAGCTAAGCTAATGGCACAAAAGTGTCACCTTGTGCTACTTTTATATACAGAGGGATTTTGGTCAACTCAATGACTGCGAGGTGATGCCCAGGTCCAAATCATTACTTCTCCACGCACTGTGCTGACAGTTGGCATGGTGTTTGGCTTTCTCCAAATGTGGTGCTGTGTATTATGACCAAACATCCTCAATTTGGTGTCATCTGTAAAAAAAGATTACTCTTCAAGTCTTGTGGTTTTATCAAATGTTGCTTTACAAACCTAAGCAGTGCTGCCATGTTTATTGTATCAGAGAAGCTTTCTCATGACAACCCTCCCAACCGAGCTGTGCTTGTTCAGTGTTTTTCCTTCTTGTGCTGTCATTAATTTTAACATTTGAACATTCATTCATACAATCCTTATCTGTTGGGGACTTAAATGTAGTTTAATACTAGTAATATTATAAAAAACAAAAACATCAGCGCCTTTGTTCTTGCCATGTGAATGGGCCAACTCTTTTTTAAAAAATAACTGTAAGAAATACTTGATTAAAACAAAACAAAACTTAAATACATATGTCTGAAGTCATAGTTAATGATTGTTGATCATGTGAAGGATAAACTGTCATTAAAGTAAAATGCCACTCAGATAATTCCTGGCATGTTCTTCATAGTGCAGATGTCTGCACTATGCTGTGCTCAGCAGGCTTTTTGTTACATAAAAGAAAAAAATAAAATATATAGTAAATGTTTATATTATACAGGACGTCTTTGTCTTTTGCTTAAACTGTGGGTGTTTTTCTGGTGCAACATATTTAGTTGAACTTACTACATTTTAACCAGATATCAGTCAAAATTCCAATATTGGTTACTTTCTATAAATGTAGAAGACTTTTCTGTGCATGTTGGATGAGGTCGCGATGAAGAGAGTTACAGAAAGAATAATAAAACTTTTCACAGCTTTGTTTCTTGCACTTCTAGGTAGCATGCAAAGGGTTTTCTGTGTTGAGTGGCATCACACAATAAGGCAGACCGGCGCAACCAACACGTTTTTGGCACTCAGTACGTGAAACAGGTGGCTTGTATGAGTCATTTGGACAGATTTCAGAAAAGGATCGTATTTTATTCCCCATTACGGGAAAAGGCTGTTTTGCATCCACTGTGTTAGCAGTGTTGCTCAGAATTCTGCTGCGAGACTTCTTTTAAATACTCACATGTCACACTCCAGCTGCACTGGGTCTTCTTTAAATTCAGACTCCACTTTTGGAATTGGATTTTGGCCTTTAGAGTGCTGCATGGTCATCAGGGCCCTACTGGCTATGCATCACACCGAAGGAGACAAAGCTTTTGCAACACTGGCACTCTCTCCCTCTGAGCGAAAAACTCATCTTTATGAACTTGCTTTAGTTTTTACATTCTAGCAGTTTGTTTTGAAGCACTTTGTAATGTTTCTTGAAAGGTGCTTGGGAGAGTGTGTTCAGGGTGTGGTGTCAGGAGAGGGAGGCTGACTCACACATATCTGAATTCTTCCCTTTCAAGTATGCCGCCGGGACCTGAATAGAGATCTGTGTGTGGTATGAGGGCAACTGAAAATCTGCTGCAGAAATAGACTGCAAATTGAAAAAAACACCACAGGTGTAACGCTGTGTGCGTGGACGTTTATTATCACAGAGCTATACAAGAATTTACTTTTTTTCTTACCTTTTGTGAAATAAAAATTAAAAATCACATGCGTGAAGAGAAATGTTTACATATATAAGTACATAAATATTAGTATTTTTTTCCAAAGTTAAATGTTGCAGATAATAAAATCAAAGAAAAATCATGTGAACTTGATTATAAACTCATGTAGCATTTCCCATTCTGTTGCATCGCTAACATCTTAGGGGTGATTCCCTGTAAAGGAAAACAAAAACATGGTGTTATTTTTATTGTCTCACAGAATAATACTGAAACCAAATCACTGCAGTCAATCAAAACGCAAACACCCCTGCTAGCATAACTTTAAGACAGACAAGTGTTGTTTTACTGTGCACACCCAACTTACCAGAGTAAACTGAAACTCATATGGCATTGTTCGCTTTCTTGACAGTTGTGAAAAATGTGACAGGCAATATTTCTTTCAGTTGATCGACAGAGTCTCAAGTACCGACAAACACAATATGAAATTTTGTCCAGGAACTCGTGCATTAAGACGCTCACTATTACTGCTTTGGAGAAGTTCTGTACTTTATTATTATTTTATTTTTATCTTGTGTTTTAAATCTCGTCATGTTAATCAATTTAATCATATCAAATCAAATTCACATTGCCTTGATTAGAGTAAAGCTATCTTAAGATTAAATTGAGATGATGTTTATTGTACTTGACCTAAGCCCACCCGTAACCACTTTAGTTAAAGCATTTGCTTAACATGAAAGGCAACACAGCGCAGTGACACAGTATCCTTCTGTACTGATTTCTTACTTTATATTTGTTTGGAAGTTTTTAATATTAGATAAAAGTAACTCAAATAAAAATAAAATGCAGCTTTTAAGTGAAGATGTAATTTATTAAGTGAAAAATGTTTCCAAACGTACCTGGCCATATGTGAAAAAGTAATTGCCCCCTAAACTTATTACCTGGTTCTGCTCATGGATGCCATTTTTGAGTCTCTTTTTTATTTTGTTGTATCAGGAACACTGAACTTGACGTGAGCCTGCAGTTCTTTAGTTTTTCTGGGTTCTTTTGCGACCTTATGGATAAGTTATCAATGCACTCTTGTAACCCTTTCCAGACTGATAGATGTCAGTGGTTTTATTTCTCACCTGTTTTTAAGTTTCTTCAAATCATGGAATGATGTATTGCATTTTGTTCTATTTAAAAGATTTCTTGGTTTACCAGGTCTGGCAGTTGTCAGGTGTAGGTGTGGCAAGTGAAACTTAATGCAGCTTTATAAAAAACATTGTTGATCACAGTTGATTCGTGATTTAACTAGCTGGTCATTTACTTTTTCACACGGTGCCTGGTAGGTTTGGACAGCCTTTTTTCTCCTAATCAATGAAGTCAACATTTAAATCATTTTGTATTTACTCACTTTGGCATTGTCTGATATAAAAATTTGTTTGATGATCTGAAATATTTAAATGAGACGTATACAAAAGAAAACTAATAAATGAGAAACAGGAAAAGTACTTTTATTTAGCATTAGGGGAGAAACTGTACGCCTAAAACATAGTCTTATAAAAATTAGCAGATGGCAACTGGTTATCTTAACACAAGTACAGGGTTCACAGTATGACATTGAAACAGCCAATCAAATAATGATTGACACAGCCATTGGGATGTTCTCCATTACTTTGTGAAGTCCTGTTTTAAAGGTTCAAGTTTAGCATTATGTCATTTTAGCCACCAGGGGCCTGTTCTTCGTACCGCGCTAAGTGAGTTAGCTGGATGAGATTGTTGACGATTTCGCGTGATCTTGGATCGTTCGGTTCCCCGAAGCCCATCCGGGACTTGCTGTCATAGCAACAGAGCCGTAAGCGTAAACCTGCTGGGGAGCAGGTTTACTTTATGTAAACAGGATTAGATCGCGGCCACGCAGGTATGTCCGCGTCATTCATACGAAAGCAACAGCGATATTCCACCACTGTTTCACCATAAATAAATAACATCAATGTAACTAAAGATAATGCAGCACTTGATCCTTTTATTGATTTCACACAGATACATACAGGTCATTCCCTAAAAAAGGGAAATGTACTATTAACATTCTATTACATGTATGTGATTATTACAGATGTAATTCATATTTCAGAGTAGTAATTGTAAATTACTTCGTGTAATCAAGATGAGAGACCACGGCTATAAAAGCGAAGGTGGATTTGGGAAGTCTGTTGCAGCCATGTCCTGTCCGTTTACGCGAGCAACCCATTGCGGAAGGTGCAAGATTGATAAGGAGAGTCCTCAGAATTCAGCGTATATTGCGGGACAGACAGGATCCTTTAGCTCAGCGCGACAGTGTGCTCATAGAGAGATATCGATTTCCCCGTGAGGGTATTATTCACTTAACCAACTTGTTGACGAGGGGGTGCAGGACCACCACCTGTCTTTTTTTTTGCTCTGCCCTTTTCTTGGTTGCTGTTATGAACAAACAAACAGAGTATTTCAGGGTCTCTTTCCAAGAGACGACAAGCAATATAAGTGATAAATATTACCATTCTGTAGAATATTCTTATATTTCACTTTTACTTGTTCCCATGTTCTAGTGGGTCCTGTTGTGGCTCTAATGTGAAAGGGGATATAATATAACATATTATAATATAATATAATGTAATATAATATTGGATAATATAGTGTAATATAATAAATCTACCCTACCGCCTACTGGTGTTGGCCAGAGGGGCCGATGGCGCGATATGGCAGCCTGGCTTCTGTCAGTCTGCCCCAAGGCAGCTGTGGCTACAACCGTAGCTGCCTCCACCAGTGTGTGAATGTGAGAGTGAATGAATAGTGGCATTGTAAAGCGCTTTGGGTGCCTTGAAAAGCGCTATATAAATCCACTCCATTATTATTGTTATTATTAAATTACTTACGAGTTTGATTTGTCAGCAACTTTCTGCCAGCCCTCTCTCCTTGCTTTTGCAGCCTTTGCAGTGTTCCCTTGCGTTTTAATTAAACTCTGAAACTCCTGAAATCCCTCACTCAAGAGTTCTTGCTCTGCTGCCGAAAAATACCGAGCGCGCTCCTTCGACATTTTCGCCGACCAATCAAAGGGTTGCCGATCAATGTTTCTACTATCGATGCGTAGCCCCTGTTGGGCCACCCAGTGATCTCACATTACTTCATCCAGCTATACTAATCGTCAACAACAGGTGTGTTCGGGGAACCGGAATAGCGAGCTCAGAGTTAGCGCGATGATTTGGTCTTGGATGTTTCATTTGATCTTGGATGTAGTAAGCGACGTACGAAGCACAGGGCCCAGTTTAGTTTGGTTTTGTTTGTAATCTGAAGTCACCTTATTTGAATTAGAGGGCAGAAATGTAGCCCAACATATTGTGAAAAAAATTGTTGGGCTACATTAATGAGCTGCTGACCTCGAATTCACTAAATAGAAAAAGGAGAAGTATAAGTTTAAATCACAAAAACCCTGCGTTTTGGGTTCTGTCACTTATCCTACAGTTTTCCTGTAACTCAGATTTTCCTAATAAGTCTGACTTCATGTAAATGAGAATGTTTTATGCTGTTTACATGCATAATAATAAGTGTGTATATTTTTAAATGGTCTATATTGATATACTTATAAGGGATCAAGCAAAATTCTACTATTATACATCTGTTCACAGGTTGGTTTTATTTGAAAGAGTCATTGGAGCCAGGTTTATTTGATATCAGCTGTTGCCAACTTAAGAGGAAACCAACCTGAAACCATTCATCATTTTTTATGTCAACAATGCATGAATACACTTATAGAACAGCTTAATAAAAATGAGCTAAGCGAGAACAACCTGAATGTTTAAGATTGCTGACATAACAGTGAGAGACCCACCTACATTTTGACACTGACAATCTATCAGTGTAAACCTCCAATCAAATTAATCCTTTTGATCATTGAGGTTTAATGTTGACGCAGTTCTCATAATGGTATCTTATTGCGTATTTTATAGTAAGAACATCTTCTGAGAAACACAAACATTTTCCCAGCATTAAACGAATGTGTTCATAGAAAAAAACATACAAATATTTTAATTGTCTTCCTAGAATTACGAACTGCACAGACAAGATTTCAGAACAGAAAAATGCTTTAATGAGTGCAACGTGCTTGCCAAGTTTTTATTAGTGGTGAGTAATTCTCTTATAGTATTCCCACAAATACCTGAAAACATGAAGGAACGTTTTTTTGTTTGTTTGTTTTTTTAAAAACAGACCAAAAAACAAAACAATGACCGGATTTACAAAAAATGAGAAAACATTTTGTTTACCGTAACAGCCTGAAAGAGGCAGTGTTTGCAAGATCATTTTTAAACACCTGTTATTTGTAATTACCTGATTATACTTTTAACATAATAATAAGTGTGTATAGGCTTACAAGCGTATTGAGTCAGTGATCTTTAGCAAATGGCTCAAACTATGAAGAAACCCTGCTAAAACACTTCACTCTCCTTTAGTACCAGCAGATAGCAGTAAAGCACCACTCAGACAGTAGTTCTGCACAAGCATATACACCCTGCAAAATGGGGAATGTCTGTGGTGCTCAACCAAATCCTACAAAGGTGGATCTGCATTATAAAGTATATTTCAATGTGAATCCCTCACATAAAGTACTGCAGGTAAACATCAAGTAGATAGTTCATAAATAGTTTACATACCTGTTACATTGTGGAGGTTGATTACACCATCGATTGCCCATGCAAACTATGACAGCGGCACCCTTTAATGTGAAACCATGGTAACAAGAGTATAGAGCAACCAGTTTTCGAGATGTAGAGGACAAGATATAATCTCCATTGTTGATCTGTTTAGGAAGGCCACACCGTTTTAAGTCTGGAATTGGGTAAATGTTTCTCGTTAATATGTGGCAGAAAAAAGGAAACCAATTTAAGGCAATGATTTTTTAAATAATAGGCGAAAGATTTGCCAAAAATTTCACAGGCTGACCTTCGCCCATTTCGTCTTTCCAAGCTTCCAAATTCATTGAGGGTATCTGATCACAGGAGACATAATGAGATGGATACTTCCCCAATCTGAAAGGATCAAGAGGAACTTCTCCTATGTCGCTATTATCACAGATCAGATGGGATAGAGAAAATTTTAAAAGTTCCTCCTTCTGTTGCTGGGTAAACACACCATCAGCTTCCCACCAAAACCTGAAAATGAAAAATACACAAGTTTCACTGAAGCCTTGATTTCATTTGAATGTTCAACCTAGACAAATCTTACGTACCTGTCACCATCACGGAGCACTTTCATCTGCCTTCCAATCAGGCAAGCAAAGAGAGGACCAGTTCTTGAGCCAGGCAAAAGCCTTTCAACAAGTCCTCCTGGATATACATCGATGTTGTCGGGATGTTTGTATATGTCAAGTATTCTCTTAGCAACCCTGGAGTCTCCCGCGGCCAGTGACAAATCATCCAATGTCTTAATGCGCTGCAATCCACAGAATTCCCTCCAATCGTTGTATCCTGAAAAGGAATTTTAGCACAGTGTCATTTAAAAGTGAATATATTCATTTAAATTTGGATGTCTTGTCAAGAGTTCTCTTTATGAAGACTACGTACAGGAAGCTATTAAAGCTTAGCTAGAAACAGGAAGAAATGGGACGCCAGCTGTCCAAATAAAACCCATTCAGCAGAACTGCTAGAGCTCACTGCAGCATCGTTTCTCTGATTTCTCTGACACAAAAATATGAGCTTGACCAAATGAAAACAACCCATTGATTTAAAACTAAAGTCTAAGATGGTCTGTCTTGTTTTTAGTTGTGCACAAAGTTGTCTTTCTTATGTTGTATATGTAAAGACATATAAAGATACAAATAAAGAGAGTGAAAAAGATAGTCTTGATAACCGTTTTACTAAAAGTTCCAGGGAAAAGGCATGGTCCTTGGATATGAGATTTAGCACAGCTGCACTGGAACTGCAAAAAGCTTTTTCACATTGGTAATAACTATTCCCAAGAGTCTGATGTGTAAAGTCAGTGGAGTTAAACTAGGCAATGCAAGATTTTGGCACCTTTCAGACACAAGGCAATTCAAAATGCTTCAAAAGATTTAAGTACAGTAAAAAAAGATTAAACTTGCATGGAAAGTCAATAGAATGCATTGCAAAAAAATAGAAAAACGTTGACCTATGAGTGAGCACGAATGCCACAGGCTTTCCTGCTACAGGCATAGGTGCTCTGTGAATCTAAACCAGCACTTTTTACAGCTTTAAATATATTCTCATGCAGCATTATATCACAAAATTAGCATTCAGTTTCTTTTCAAAGGCATGAAATATGAAATAACCAGATAACTTTGAGAACACGTCATATACAGATCAACTGTTGAAAATGTTGAAAAGAATAGCTCAATTTCCATTTTGTCAAACATTACTTGTGAAGCAATTAATACCTTTTAAATTATTTGTTCTCACTTTCATCTTAGTCCCTTTTCAAGTTATCGCAAAGCACTTTTTCCCCTCAAGTACAGACGTTGTATTTTAAGTGAATAACAGATTGTGTTCCAGGAGACTCAGTCTGTGCATATTTTCAGTCATTTTCCCTTTGAGATTTCCTGTCATGTAAAAACGTAACTAAGTTGATGCTAGCTTCCCATTCTATAGCTTTAACATCATTGCTAAATGTTAAAGAAAAGTACTGTGACAAAAACGAATGAAAAGAAAAAAGGGAAGCATGTAGAGTGCAGGTGAGAGAATCAGGTGATATTACTTTCTGATTTCCTGAGTTCGTGTCATCATGGAAGCTGGAAGAAATGCCAGACTGCAGGGCAAGTAAAATCCACCTGATTGATATGATTATTAAACTGCCTATCTGATTTAATTATTTATTAACTCAAGATGCAGGAAGCCAGTGACTGGCAACCTATCCAGGATGTACCCCGCCTCTCTCCCTATGACAGCTATATATGCTATGTAGATTGGTTCATTCATGGATGGGTGGATCCTGGTTAACGTGTGCTTATCACAATCAACCACTGCTGGGCTGCTGTGGACAGTGACTTTAAATTGGAACATCAAATTGCTGTAAAACAAGCAGCATAAAAGAAGGCTAAAAACTCATGCGAGTTCTTCCATACAGTATATATGCAGCCCTAACAGATCTCTACAGCTATGCAGATAGTGCTCTCTCACCTGGAAAATGAATCAAAAGATCATTTTTGCTGATTACAGCTCACCCTTTGGTACAGTTCTTCCCCATAAACAAACTGTGCAACCACAGCCTGGATGCCACACTTTTTGCTTTTTTTTTGTTTTTTCTGGCACCCATGTGATTATAATGGATGTGTCCCCTGTTGAGTAGAGGTGACCATTCTTCATATTTAGCAATGGCTGTGGAAATTTGGCATGACATTAAGAATAAAAAAATCAGGAGATCAAATCCAGTCTTTCCACCTTAACCCGACTCACCATACTCTCATTTACTTCCCTTAAGACATGAAGGGATCTGAACAGAACTGCACACAATAACCTAAATCTGACTCTAGCTGCTATGACACTATTGAACTCATCTATCATTCTGCACTAATGCTTCAAACGCACCTGGCTGTATAGGATTCTTTCACAGTGCTACTTTCTATATTGCCGTTTTCTTGTGATATTCTGGGGTTTTTTTTTCTTTCTTTCTCGTGACTCCTCTTGTGAGGGGATTATTTGAATCTGCAAGTTTGCTTACTTAGAGAAATGCTCACAAAGCAACAAGACCATCAAAAAGCTTGTTGGGAAGATGACAACTGTTGGTGGAGTTGTTTGGAAATGGAAGAAATATAAAACAGCCATCGACAGACCTTAATCTGGAACTCCGTGCAAGGTCTTGTTTCATAATTTTGAGGATGGTGGTGGATCAGCCCAAAACTACACAGGAGGAGCTTGTTCATAATCTGAAAGCAGTTGGGACCACCGTCACCACCAAGAACACCACTGATAAGGCACTGCCGACAAGTTCCCCTGGCTAAAGAAGCCATATCTACACGCCCATCTTAAGTTTGTCTGTTTGCCAGTGAACAGAGAAGGCTTGGGGAAAAGTGCTTTGGTCAGATAAATTAAAATTGAGCTCTTTGCAATCAATTCGACCCGTTTGACATAAGAGAGTATGACTCAAAGAGCACCACCCACACAATCAAGCACAAAGTCGGGAACATTATGCTTTGGGGTTGTTTTTCTGCTGCTTCAGTGGACAGGTCCATGTACCATATAATTATCAACAAGAACCTCCTTTACTTTATTAGAACACGATCCTATGGAAGAAGCTGAAGCTTTGAGTTGCCAAACAGAAGCAAAGAAACCTAAAAGTTTTACAGAGTGTCTTTCGAGTTGTGTAAAAAAAAATGGTGGCAAAGTACAACAAAGGGTTCACTGCAGTGCTTGCCAACAAGGGTTTCCCCACAAAGTAGTAGAGTAAGGTATGTTTTGTTTGGGGATTAAATGCTTATTTCATTCAATGACTCTCTCCATTAAAATAGAACTACCATAAAATTAGAGACAGTTCATTTCTTTCTTTTCTAAGTGGGCAAACTTACAAATTCAAATAGTTATTTTCACCAGTGTATATGAATACAAACTTTATCCTCACAGACTGTCAACTTTAAAAAAGATGCACAGCTATTTCATGCATTGAGGTGTGTGTGTTATATTGATTACCAATCTCAGAAAAAAAGGGACTTAACTTTCAAGCTATAGCTGCAGTCTTTTTTTATACATGTCATAATGAACGTGAAGTTTTGTTTTCCACCACCTGCGTTCTGCCTGTCTGCTCTCTTTTTTGAGCTTTTACCAGCTTGGCGTTCCTCCATGGTGCCTTTTTTTCTTTTCAGGGATAACTTTGATCTTTGTGGGAGCAATGGCATTAATACAGTCAAAACTTTAGAACTGAAACAAGATCATTGACAGGAGCAGAAGGCAGAGCTGGCTTGGGCATGAAAGCTTGGGTAAATAATGCACAGGTGTTTCCGGTGATATAGAGCTTTATGATTGCCTTGGTTTTTATTCTCCTGGTGTCAGGAGAGACGGTAAGAAGAGAAAACGCAGAAATGAGGAGAAAGGACAACATCAGTCACTGATCATGTTGTTTGCATGCTTGGTGAGAGATTAAATAAATTTAATTCCCATACTGTGTTATTATTCCTTTAAATGAACACAAATAGCATCCCAGAATCAGTGTGAAATGCTCTGGGATGCTCAGGGGAGTGATGTGTTTGATTTGGATCAGCGTAGATAATGTTTTTGTGCTTATCAGGCTTTATGACTCATCTGTCAGCTTTATAATAACAAATCAAGAAAAGCAGGATTGTTTGCCAGATCACTTCTTTTCTTTTTCTTTTTAAACAAATACCAAAATTCATGTTGTTCTTGTATTGTTAGTTTTAAAATTTCACTTCTATATCTACTTCGTCCTTGTGGGCCTACATAGCTCCAAGCTAAAAAGTAATTTATTACAGCACTGCTCATTCCTTATTGTCCACACTGTAAGGAACCAGGAAGCAACAACAGAGTACTCATATTAATGACCACCCATTAAATATGTCAATGGTTTGTCAATGGTCACTAAGAAACACAGTTTGTTGACAAAGGGAAGGACAAATGATGTGGTTTTTTTTTGTTTGTTTTTTTAAACAGGGTGTGGAGTGGTTACTGTCGCTTTGATTTGACGAGGATAATCTAATGGCATTTGAATGACAGATCTGACTCTCAGCCAAGATCTTACCTGGGAGGCCGTGATCTCGTCCTCTCTGCAGGTTCAGCGCAGCCAGGTCCATCTGCTTCAGTGTATCAAGGACCACTAGCCTCTCTGTTACTTCATCAACCAACAGCATGTCTGCGCTAACAGCTGACGCTGCAGATCCAATTACGCCTCTCAGGACTGGTTCAATCCCCCCTAGAAACAAAAGCCTATTACTTATTTTTCCAGAGTCATTAGTATTAATTATTATTTATAGTTCATGTGTTGTTGTGGGTTGCTGTTAAGACTGTGACTTTGTATTTCTTTTTTGTTGTTTTCTCTATTAAAAAGATAATATATTGCAATGTTATTAAACTGTGAAAACCTCATTGATTTTTTTGGAATACAGCCCGACTATAATCCAGGGGTTGACCACAATGACAAGAAAAACAACATATGGTTGGAAGGTACTGTTTTCTCTGGACTGGATGCTTTCATTGTTGCTGCTCAGAAATCACTCCCGGGCTTGGATTTGGTACTTCCCAGGGGCCCTCCATTGTCCAAACATTTCTTTTCAGCAAATAGAATGAATGGACTGTTGAGGATGAACATGCTGGTTATCATGACAATACATTTTTATAGTTTTATAAAAGTAATAAACATGGTTTTCAGTTGTAAGGCAACTGAACACAGCAAGGAAGCAGCAAGGTAACAGCTTCAGCCACTGGAGGTCAGCAAAACATCCCAACTGGTGTCAAGATAATATTTGAGGTAGCATAATCCATTTAAATGTGAGACCAGCTGGTGAAGAGCTAAGTAGACCACATTTTATTGTACAATGTCATGGGGTCAGGGCAGTAGAAATAATAGGATCCACAAAGTCAATCTACCCAGATGACATTTCTCAGCAGAAAGGCTGAGAAATGTCATCTCAGTCTTTCTGCTGTGACGCACCCATAGTGAGCATCACAGTGGAGATGCTCACTATGGGTCCCAGTAAGAAAAAGCAACACAAGGTTTTCTGGGTCAGTGAATTGCTGTTAATAGGTTTTTGTGCAGTATGGTTTTAATGTACTATAAATATTATTGTGAATTGGCCATAATATAATATAGTATGAATATTATAATATATAACTATTTGTTTTGTGTTTGTTTTTTATTTCAAAAATGGATGTTGAAGTTTTAAAGTGGATTAAATATCTCTCATTATTTTTATATTACAAAATATCAAATGAGATTCATGAGAACCAATTGCAACGTTCTGACAACCTAAAAGATCGTTTTAACTGCTTCAAAAGACAATGAATGATGACGTATGGAATGGCGATGGCAAGTGGAGGTCGATCGCAGAGCCACTGTGGGGAAAAAATGACACTTTTCACAGTCGCATTCTGTCAGTGCATCAAGCTCCATCCGTGATACTCCTCCAGTGTGTCCAAACAGTGACCCATCAACTTGTTTTTCATTTTCAAGAAGTGGACTAAGTTGCAGAGAGCCAAATCCGACGAGTGGTCCAGGTGGTGAGCGAAGATTCTGTTGGTGTGGGCAAAAAAAAACAAAAAACATCCTGTGTTTTCAGTTAGCTCTGAGCCAGCATGAGATGTCCTTCTGGCAAGCACTGCAGTTCAGATCGTTTCTTCTGAATGCTCTCCCTCAGGACATAACAGTCAAATTTGATACCGGCATTCCCACCCTGGGGGATGAATTTATGGTGCACAGCCTGATGAAGACTAAGGGAAAGAAAGAAAATAAACAAGCATACTCTTGATCTCACTACTCACCTGATGTGCTCAATCTAGGTTTGGAAATTGATCCTTCACACAAAATTTGAGCTAGTTTGAAACAGAACAGAATGTTTGACTTCCAGGATAAAATTGCACACCATATAGCATATGTGGTTGTAACAGTATTCCCAAAAGCATGGTACAGGAATGCTGGAGGCTGTCTGCACATGCCAGAGAACATGATCTTCAATGTGAATTTCAGCCAAGTAAGTATTCTAATTATTATGGATCTGTTTTTCACACTTTGCACACAGCTATGACCTTAAAATACTTTTCACTGTATGGAAATACAGTGAAAAGTATTTTAAAGTAAAAATGAAAACACCTCAAACTTTTGTAAGCAGACCCAGAAATTCTGATCCTTAGGATATGATAAAAGGTGAGTGTGTCACAGTTGTTCATCGATCCATCCATCCACTTCAGGTTATCCACTTCAACATCACAAGGGAGCTACATGTCGAGCCTATTCCAGCTATCAAGGGGGCAAGAGGTGGGGTGCCAGTCTGTTGCAGCATCAACACAGAGAGTCATGCGCTGACTCATATCTACAACCAATGTAGAATCAGTCGTTAACCTAACCTTATGCATTTTGGGGAGGGGGGGATACTGGAGAAAGCCAGAGTAGCATGCAGACATGAAGAGAACAGCAGAAAGACTGTGCGTGGCATTTCTGATTTTGTTGAGACTCAATGTATCATTTTCATTCCCAGCAGGCAAAAAACTCTAAAAAAAACAAGTATACACAGCCTCAACCTGAATAAGCTGACCACTGAAGTATTTAGTGGCTAGAAAACAACATAATCCAAGTATGAACACTGAACCCACATTCCCCAGTGGTCATGAATACAGGTGGGAATGAATATAATTGTTGTAGGCTTAGAAAAGAAGCTGGTTGCAACATTTTACTTAATAATTTAGACAAAGCATATTATTCTTTTTCAGATTTAAAGACTTAACATACATACAATTGCTCTCTCATATAACCCATCACAATCATCAGAATGATTTACAGTCTTCTTGCTGTTATTTAATATTGAGGAAAACAGTGAATAAAAGAAATGTGGCAAAACAAAATATATGCAAACGTCGGAAAGCTAAGCTACACGGCTGGACCAAACGTCCAAGTGGAAACTTGACACTACTCACTAATACATGTGTCCCTTTGCTGCTGTTTGGGTTTTCAGTTAGTTTGATCATAATGGTCACAATACCAAAATGTTCTGCTGAAAAATGTATAACCTTAATGTTCTGGTCAAATTAAAGAATAGGTTAAAACATGAAGTGGCAATGAATAAAAAAAAGGTCCCTACAGCCTGTACGATCGATTATTCTTCCTGTGAATGGGTGCACTCTGTATCGCTCATTTTCTGGGTTTTTTATAGAAAACAAAAATTCTGATCCTGCTTGTGTAAAATTTTTTAAACTGCATGTATGCAGCTGATTCTGGAGCTGACCTAAAAAGAGTATTTTTCTTCTTCCTCCTTTCTTTCGGTGTGTTTACTGTGCTTGCAGGATGTGTTATTGGTTTCCATTCTCATACGAGTGCACTGACCTTCTTTGACTATTCTCCATGGACTGAATAAAGTATTGTGCAGTCTCAAGTGGGGGAAGCGCTCATCCTCCTGGAAGCTCTCATTCAGTCTGCAGAGGATTGGGGAGATGGTAGCATGGCCGAACCTGAATGCGGCTGCGGCGAACACGTTGGCGATAGAGGGGTCCACAGATGGATCATATCCCCTGTAGGGACCAATGTAATGTTTGAAGGACTCTGGGCCAATGATTTTTGGAGCATAGTCTCTTAGGGTTATGATCTGGGAATCAAAAAAGAAAACGGATGGACATCAGAAAAAGGGAAAAAGCGCAAAAGATTTTATGTGTCTATCACCAAATTCTAAAGTCTATACTGAGTTTGAATAGAAGCATACTTTACAAATAAATACAAAATATCCTCTTTGAATACCTGAAATGATATCTGTGAATGTGTATATACATACAGCTAAAGGAATCCCTGTAGGATTACCAGTGAAATGTCTACTTGTATAATAACCCTGGCTGTGATTGCACGCTTGTTTCCTCACGGTTTACTGCAGAGAATTTCATCTGTCCTCATCACTATTTATAAATGCCTCACTTCAGCACCCGAATCTCGACTCATGTCACAAGGGTGCAACCCCACACACACAAAAATGCACGGAAGCCAACACATACATTAGTGAGATATCGTCCATCATTTTTACATCAGTTAGTTATTTATTGCAAAGGAAGCACTGGAACCACACACAGTAAAATAACCAATTTGGATTTTATGCACATTTTTTAGATGAAATGATTAGAGCACAATGGGAAAGATGGAAAAACCAGGTATTCCCCTCAGGGTTTATGTGGCCCACACAACCTTCACCAATACAGAGTTTAGCAGGTCTAAACTCTGTACTGCCTAAACAGAAAAAAACAGGAGGAAAAAAGAAAAGTCAGAGAAAAGTCACAGTGACAACTGACAGAAAATCAGCTCAAATTCATATAAGATTTTTTATGAACTCAGGCCACATCACATCTGGAATTTGGCTCCTGGAAAAACAATTCAAAGAGGTTTTGAGCATGACCGAAAAGTGAGAAAAAAAACTTTCCTCAGGTTCAAGACAAGAAACTGAAGTATCTACCAAGTACAGGAGCCCAGTGAGTCATATATTACAGGATAGTAACCAAAACCATATATTAGACTATTGTAGTCCACCAATTACAGATCAGACAGGCTGATCAGACATTACATTAAAACTATCAACAAGTGAAGTTAATAAAATTCATCATCATATTAAACTGGAATGTGCTGCTGGTAACACTGATGCAAACCGTTTACTCATTCCATGGTGACTCAGGCAGCCTTCCATTGCAGACACATGCAGATACATCACAAAACTGCAAAATAATTACTTAAAAACAGGAAATATCCCAAGGTTTGAACCCTCAATCCACAGAGGGCCCACTTTACAATTCACAGGTTGCAAAGGACCAACTGTCAAACACCTTAATGGATCTCATTTCCAGGCCTCAGTGGGTCAAAGCTGTTTTAGCAGCGTGAAGGCCACGTATAGAATCTTATGCAGGTGGTTTTCATGTTGTGGCTGATGAGTGTTGGGTTTAGTATTCCATTTAATGAGCTTGTGCTTGTGTTCAACCTTTCACACACTTCATTTTATCTCCTTTACAACATGCCAGGCTTTTTTTTTTTTGCTTGAAATTTATTCCTCACCTTCTAATTCACCCAGCTGCATTATAAGAAGAAGGCTCCTGGAAATGTAATCCATACTGTACTAGGGGTTAAAAGCCAGGCTATCATGGGATGGCCTTTGATTTTTCTGGCTTGGAGAAAGCCCCAAACCTTAATAAAAGTGCAGTACGGAATTTTAAAAGAGCTCCTTTAATAAAATAACAAGTAAATTCACAGAATTATTTTCTAATTGTTATTGCACGCTGTATGATTTGCAGTTGAATTGCATTTTTCAGATAATGAAGCTCATAAATGTGATGCTGTTCAACAGCTGAGGCTCTTACTTAATGGACTGAAGCACTTTAGGCGAAGCAGGTCTGGCCCTTCAAACTGTATCGTTTTTTTTCTCCTTTCTTTTTAACAATAATTCTCCCGCTTTGTCTCTCCCATTTTACAACTAAATAGAACATAATGATATTGCCTCTACACTTCTGGAAAAGCAAAAGCCCTTCACAACTGTGCACTGTAATTGAAGTCAGAATGAAACCAGATGTTGTTAGCTGATCATTTCTTGTTTCCTGCAAATAATAGACTTTCTCTCTGTATTGAAATGGCTTCTGACCTTTCAGTCTGTTTGTTCTGCAAGTCTTGTAGAGTGATGTTTTGAAATGGCTGCCCACAAACAGTCTACTGGAAACAAAGTACGGATAGTTTCACCTGCCTGCTCCCCACTGTTTTCACTCACAGCCTGAGCTGCAGATTTTATGTTACTTTTTTAGTACATGGGAATATTTAATGATACAAAATAATAACACAAACCTTTTGCTGACTCAGGTGTAAAGCTTTTCATTAAGTTGTTTCCATATGGTGACCTGTTTTCTTCTAATTAGAGTACGTTGTGAGTGTGTGCATTTCTGGCTTTGATTTTTATCTCCATGCTAAAATGTGTAATCTTCAAAGAAATGTTTTCTGTATATACTTTAAACACACCCAGTCTCTGTTAGTGTTGTAGCATACCCGGTGTAGGAGGAGCAATGCAGTACGACAGCCACACGGTCAAACAATGTAAACATTGTTATTTGCTCGAGAACATATTTGCTCGCATTCCTGTTGATGTCCAACCAGAAGAAAACAAATCTCCATTTCTATGCCAATCAGTTAAATTAGATTTTTATAATTAGTATTCCAGTACAGTTAGAATGGAGGGGGCAACTGACCAATATTTTTGGATTGATAACTCTGACATAAACAGTGTAGCCACAGAAACATACTACGTCTGCAGGTATGCATCAACTGGCATCCGCCTTAAAACACTTCCCAGCCTAATTGCTCGCTACAGTACCTTTGGCCTGAAAGTGGGTTTTTCTGTTAGCAATTACTGATGTAGTGCATAATTTAAAGCATTAAAGTTGTGCTTTTACAGTAGCTTGTCAAGAATAATGCAAAATGAAAACAGCATTCTAAAAAACACTCACCCCGTGTGAGCTTGTTTGTCGGGAACAGCTGCAGGAGGATTTTAAAGTGGGGTGGAGGGGGTGGAGGGCTTCGTGAGAGCTGTTGGGATTCAACCATATGGACCGAAAAGCACAACAAGGAGCTGATAGCTGCTGAAAGGACTGCAGTTAGATGCTTTCCCCCCCAGAGGGACACAATTACAGCAAACTTCCACATTACAGGAAGACATTTCAGTCCTGATATTAAAGATCCTTCTCAGTGGCGCTGCTATGTATGCCTCAATTATTATTAAGAATTAGAAGTTAATAGCTGTGGCAGGTAAGTTGTTTAGACAAGTGTTACTGAATGGTTTCTCGAACACTCTTGCATCTCGAGTGACCCTGTTTAGTTCCTATCTGTTTATTTTGGTTGGTTTCTTTCTCACCTGATCAGTGATTGACAACGTTAACGACGCCTACATCAAGTTCCAGTATTTTTATTTTGCATACAAGAGCTCACGCTTAATGGAAATGAGTCACTGTTAACAAAATTAGTTTCATCTGTGTTTTTTCTCTGTTGGCTCCACAGAAAATGTCTACTGTGGAAAAAAAGCAAACATGTTTGTTTTTTTCTCTAATTAACAACTCATTAGACTGAAAACCTGATTAACCGTCAACATTTTTACCAGAAAAAGGCACAAAAACTACACCAGTTCCTGAAAACTGAGAATGTCTATGAATAGTCAGATTTGCTTAGGAAAGTTTCACAATTAAAAGCTGGTCAAAATTTCTAAATAATAAGGAAAGGTGGGTCTTTATTACATCTTTTACCAAAAGATTCACTGGACTATCCTTCCTATGAAATGAAAGCAGATAATTACTGCTCTAATTCATGAAAACAGTAAACAAAATGAAGTGGTGCAGATCATGTCAATCTTAAATATAAGCATGTTTTCTGTTTCATGCCATAACCTGCTGATATGTTTTCCATTTTCAAAAATATCCTGTTAAACCCAACGTGATGCTGCTGTAATAAAATCTGCTACTTGTCCAGTTGCTGCCTTGCATGAAGAAAGTAGTGGTTAATAAGTTCTCTAAATCCAGAATATACAGCGTACTAACTGATCGAAGTTCATCTATTTCACGGTCCTGAGTCTTATCTCTTGCAGTTCTCTATTTAGTCCTTTGAGAATATTTTCTCCTGGTGATTCTGACTTCAACTTTTCTTCAGTTCCTTATTTGACGACTTTCGTTCCCTTCGTATCCTGTCTGTTCTAGTCTCATCTTTGTGCTCTGTCTTCTGTATAAAGTCTTTCTTGTCACTATGTTCGTTTCACTCACTATCTTTTTTTCAAGTATGCATTCCTGCATTCTGTTACTTCCTGTTTTATTTTGATAGTCTCCCTTCTGTTATGTTCAGTTTTGCTTCCCTTGTCTCATCAGTTAGATTCAGTTCAGCTGTGTGATTTTCCCCCACACATGTCCACTACCACAGTCACCCTCCTGTGTGTACAACGTCTCAGTCTCCCTTCTCAGAGTGTCAGTTCACCTTCCCTCTGCACTTCTGATGTCCCTTCAGATCAGCTGAGGTAGGTGATTGATCTAAATAATTTTACATTGTTTGTAGAAATCTTAAACAAGGAAAGGAGAATGGAGTTGCATTAGATCATGAAAAATAAGCATATTGTTTTTAGTTTATTATTTCTGGCATATGTTGCATTTTTTTAGTCCAATCTCTGGAATGAAGTGATATTTGAGGACAACAGGTAAAACTGTTGCTGTAAGGAAAAATGCATATGTTGTAGTCCATCTTCTGAACTTTGGGCTTTCATGCGTTTCATACATGCATTATACAGTCGAGTGTAAAAGCAGCCCGATCCCCTGAAGTCTGTATGAATTTTCCTTTACATGTTTCCTTTCACTTTAAATAATTATTCGATCACAACTTAGCGACTCCTAATCCGGGACTAGATGGTGGATGATGATATTTACTAGAGCTGGGAGATACTGTAATGGTGACTCATTTGGACAATGATTAATTCATAATGATCTCATCCTACCTTTCTTCACAAGTACGCTCTCTGATTCAAACACTGAGAACATTAATCAAACATTAAGTCATCACTGGTTGCTCCAACATCAGTTTACATCAAGTAGTAAACCATCATAC